CAGTAGCGGGAGCAGTAGCGGGAGCAGTAGCCGTAGCATAGCAGTAGCAGCAGCAGTAGCTGTCGAAGTCGCAGTAGTAGTAGTCGTCGTAGTAGTAGTAGTAGTAGTAGCAGCAGTAGTAGGAGGAGGAGGATGAGGAGGAGGAGGAGGAGCTGCGACAGCAGCAGAGGAGCAGGAGGAGTAGAAGAAGTAGCAGGCGTTGTAGGCGCCGTCGGTCTTGTGGGCGTCGCGGGAGTTGTCGGAGTTGTAGGAGTCGAAGCAATAGCCCGTAATACATAAGGGTTCTAGAGGAGCGGGTAAGCGCCGGCGCTTGACAGCGCCCTCCAGGCTCTGCACCAAGGGCACTATTGGTTGCGTGTCTTTGGGGTTCCGGGATATTTTGTCAAGTTGCTGTTGCGGCTCTTGTTCTGGTTCTTGTTCTTCTTGTGGGTGTGGTTGGGAAAGCTTTTCTTTCTGTGCAGCTATCATTGTGGATTAGGATCGCAGCTGATTGAAGGAAGCGACGCCTCTCCTTTTGTTTGAGCTGGGCTTTGAGGCACAGTTGGAATCCCTTCGGCAAAGACAAGCACGCGACGTCACAGCAGAGCATCGGTGGGTCAGCCAGGACCTAAGGAAGTCGCTTCGGTGTCCGAGTCCTTAAGACACCCTAAGCCCCTAAACCCTAAACCCTAAACCAAATCAGAATCAAATCGGGTTCCCAACCGAGGTCTACACAGTCCGGGTCGACAACTCCTACGCCGTCCACCTGGCAGGTGCGAAGCTGCCTCAGCCGACGCCGCTGCCGGTATTTCCCGCGCCGATTGCGCCCGGGACCTTAGATACGTGTAGGTCCAGGTGCAAGTTCGGAATGGAAGCTGTCCCCTTCAAGGCTCCAGGTCAATGATGCCCTGGTGGTGCCTTCGGATCAGGATGCGACCTGGCCACTGGCGGGACTGGCCCTGCAAGCCCAGCCCGATTGCTCCTCGATAATTCCAGCCTTTTTGACTTCCCGGACGGGCCAGGTTGTCTGACCAGACCGGCTCTACACTGAAGCACCTCGGTGCTGGGCAGCGGCCTCAATCGCCGCTTTTCCGCACCGGACCTCTGCTCCTGTTGCCGGAAGGCCCCTGCTCCTGAATTTCAGCCAGGAGAACGACGGCCTGGACCCGAGGCGCACGACAATAACCCGAGACTGTGCCTGAGCGCATGGAGGCCTGGAGTTGGCCTTCTCCTCGATCATCCAGGCTCGAAAGGGCTTGTTCTTCTTGTCATTGTCGCTTGTCCTCACGAAACAAGCATGGACCCTTCGCCTTCTGGGGACGTCTTTGCTGCAGGCCCGTGAGATTCGCATCATCGGCGCAAAGCACATCACTCTCCGTCAGAATGCCGCCATCGATGCCTCCGCCCGCAACTTGGTTTCTCAACTTGCTGCTTTCAAGCGACAGTTCCACTGGGCAGAGCTTCTTCTCCTGTCTTCCCCTCTTGCTGTTGTGGCTGCTGCTGGTGCTGCTGCTACAACTGGCACTGCGGCCACTGCTGCGTCGTCACCTGTTTCTGTCTGTCATTCATCCTATCGCGATATCATTATCACTCCCATGGCAGTACCATGATCAGTGTCATCATCGGACGATTACTAGTGTTCCTCGTCATCAGCGGCATCCTTATCCTCAAAGCAGCACCAGTACATCAGAAGTATTCTTGTCATTGCCGCTATCACCACTGCGTGTGCAATTGTAATTGTTCTATCATGACCACTTCTGTTGAATTTGCCATCCTTGCTATGATGATTGTGATTCTCTTGTCTGTGTTTGCTCTCGCTTCGCGGCGAGCGGCAAGGTGGCTTCGCTTGAGGCATCGGAGGAAATCAACGCTCACCAGGGGGCGCCGGGCCTCCAAGCTGAGGGTTTAAGATTGTTCCTCAGTATACTAGGGTAAACCCCAAAAATCTCAAGCGCTCTACACATTCCTAGATAGCCAGGGGCCAGAAGCAGGCAATTGCGCGGTGTGGTGTGCGGCTGTTATTATTACCATTGTTGCTATTATCATTACCATTGTTATTTTTGCTACTATTACTATTGGTAATACCATCATTACTATTAATATTTTTGTTATCATTATTTTTAGCATTATTAATATTAATAGAAATATAATACTAATAAGTATTATCATTATCATTATCAATTTCATTATCATTATCATTCTCGTTCTCATTCCCATTCTCGTTCTCATTCCCATTCTCATTATCATTATTATTATCATTATCATTATCATTATTGTTATTATTGTTATTATACGTTTCTATATTACTATTATTACTACTACTACTACTACTACTACTATTGCAATTGTTATTATTATTACTATTATTATTATTATGATTATGATTATGATTATGATTATTATTATGATTATTACTATTGGTGCTACTATTGGTCTTGGCTTTTGTGGCTATTATGCTTTGTCATTAATCCTATGTGTTACTCATCATTTTGACCTCTCAGGCTCGGCCAAGGGGAAGGGATCTTCAGCCTCCGAGCCCAGCGGGTCCTGCTCGGTAGCGGGCGGCTCCGCGCGGCCTCCATCGTCGTGGAGCAGGAGCTTCCCAGTTCATGCGTTGTAGGGGATGTTTTTAGGGTTTAGGGCCTTTAGGGTTTAGGGATTTGGTATAGCGAATGAGGGTTTAGTGTGCTGTCGTTCGGACTTTCCGCCGCAGAGACCCTGAGCCCTAAGCATCCGCGCGTCAGCACCACAAGGACCTTGTCTTGAAGCGTGGAAGCCGGCTGCAGGCACGGACGTGTTTGCAGATCCCGGGGTTGCCGGACCCCTGTAATTGCCCTCGTCATGTGATACACTGAAGCCGTTGCGCAATGGTTGACTGGTAGTTTTGTTGTAAGTGCTTGAATCCGGAGGTGCAGGGCTGTTGGAGTGCGATGAACTTGAGTGGACGCTTACTCATCTGCCCTAAACCCCCACATCCTGTCTGCAGTATCAAAACACTTTCCCGTGGCTTGTGCGACAGTCAAGCCAGCGGCGTTGCGACCAGTTGCCCACCGCACTGTGTGGAGCTGAGTGGTCCTTTTAGGCTCCTTGGTGCTGCGCTGGGATCCTTGGGAGCACTCCAAAGAGTCTGGTAGCCTGGTTGGTGGATGTTGTTCATGCACGCCGCTGCCTGCGAAGCCATGGAAAGTCTGGTCTTGATGCTTTCCAGCCTCGCTTATTCTCATCTGAATCGTGTATTGAAAGTAGCCACAAGCAGTAAGGACAGATCCCTGTGGCACGCTCTTGGCAGCGCCTTTCCAGAACCAGACGCTTGCGGAGAACGTCAGCTTCGACATCGTGCTTGCCAGCAGGCTCGGGCCGATCCCTGCATAAAGAAAGCTCTGGCATGAGTACGACAAGAGACGATCAGTAGTACGATTATTACTACTTGTGTGACCATCATTATTACTATTGTTATGATGACTATCATTACCGTCATAATCTTGAAGCCTGAACCCAAAGTCTGTGCACTCCAGGCAAGGCAGCATTGTGGTGGAGGAGGATGCCGAAATGTATGTGCGACACTCTGCCCTGGGCTGTCCGTCCACGCAAATCGCTCTGATGGTCTGGAGTGAGGCCGGCGCTTTCCTCCTGTGTGGCACCTCGAACATCAGCGTGCCTCGGCAGCTTTCCATGTGAGAGGGTGCGCAGCTCCGTTTAGATGCTTGCTCCGGCCGCGACTCGACTTAAACTGCGGAAGCTGAGCACCGCTATTTGTTTCTGCTGCGAGGTGCGGGGCCTGGTCAGTGCGCACGGCCTGGGCTGCGCGCCCAATCGTGGGGAGGGCTTCGGCGCGGCACCGCAGCAGGTGGAAGCCTTTCTGCCGGTAGACTCTGGTAGGCCAGAGGCTTCAGAACTGAAGCCCTCTCATTATCTCTCATTCCTGTCGTGCTTTCTCTGAGGTTCAGTCGTGGGGTGCACCACGTCACAGAAGCCTGCCGATCAGTGGTAATAAGAACGGAAGCAGTATCAATGGGCAGACCTGCCATAACAACACTGGCAAGCAACATCTTCATAAGATAGAACAGTGATGTTCAGTTTGTCCCGTCCAAGAACAGCAGGTCACAGCTAAAGTATGTAGCGACGACATACCACAAGACTGGCACCACTCATCAGCAAAAAAGTCATAATCATGACGCTACAGTGCTTAGCAATGAGGACAAGACTCAGAACATGTACAAAAGTCGTGATAGGAGAGCACGCAGCGGTTGAGGCGCAGCATCGAGCTCAGTGCAGGGACACGCCACATCTGCGCCAGAGAGCGTTCGTGCCATGTAAGTAGGCTGCGAAGTCGGGGTCCGAGAGAAGTGTTTTGATTGTAGGAGTGATGTGATTTGCGGGTTAACACGGCCATGATTACCTTCACCCCGAGCCCGAGCCCCAAAGCTCTCGAGGTGCAGAGGGGGTCTGCGGAGGGGGAGGTGGAGGTCACTGTGGCAACGGCGGGGACGGTGTGAGCAATCGAACGCGGCAGCGCTGTTCGGGAACGGGAGGCACGACACTTTTTACAGGGTGCTAGGGCAAGTATTCCGGGTTTTATGAGGGCTTGTGAGGGTTTTGATGTAAGCCAGGAGCCAAAGTGTTCTTGAGCGAGTTTTAATTGGTTGTGCCCAGACCTATGGAGGCTGCATTAACTTTCGCACTTATGGTGGGTCTAACTTCAGCATGGCCTGCGGGCGTTTGGCCACCTGAACGAGTGAGGGACCCGGGACAGGCTTGAAGTACGATGGCTGGTGGACGTCTGAAGTCGCAGGTATCTCAGAGCGTTTTTGGCACTGAGCCGGCCGGCGCGAAATCATGTGCTGTGCTGCCGTACTGATGGCAGTCAGCTGTGATGCTGCAGAGCTTGGATAGTACACCGCAGTGGCAGAGTGGCTGTCCTTGTGCGATTTCATTCGGTCATGGTGCTTTGCACTTCGATCGCCGTTTTCTTCTCTCGGCCCACACGCTCCCACAACCCCGAGCTTTCCAGCCCTGACCTAGACCCAGAGTTTAATCCTTACAGAAATCTCCATCGAAACCCCCAAGCCCGCCTCCCTTTTTTATCTGGTGGCACTCTTCTGACGACCCTTGAAGCCCGAAGGCCCCGCGCCCCCAATGCCCCGAAAAAGCCGTAACCCTAAAGATCCCCAAGAGCTGCTCCAAGAGACCGAAGACCTTGCCTCCCCCAAAACAACAGCGAGACATCCCGACAGTCCCAGAAGCGAGACCCCCCCCCCCCCCCCCCCC